CAAATAGTGGAAACAACATTCTACGAAAATGTAGAACACAGAGCATGTAGTAGAACACAAATTCTACACTTGGTAGATATAGAGGGGAAGCGGTCGATTCATACTCACACTGTTGTACACGGTCCCGATACGGACATGTACTCGTGATCTCTGGGAATACATACCTACACAATTGTATTTGTGCTATTTCATACCTAAACAATTGTATTTGTGCTATTTCATACTTTGACTAATACTCCGTTAGTCAATCGTTATTATTTTCATATGTGGATTTATTTTTTACCTTTTAAAAATAATTATCGTCTAAAACCACGTCGTTTTGGTTATAAAAGAAACAAATTGGTTTAAAAATTAAAATCAATCTGAAAAAAAAAAACCAAAAACAACTTCGCTTTCTAGGGAACTGCTCTGGCCATTGTTGACCTTCTTGAATCTATGCCAAAACATAAAATTGGAGAGCTTACGAAACCTTCTTGAATCTATGCCAAAACAATTTCGTTCGTGGTATCTTTAAAAGAATCGAAATCTATAGCAGTCTCATAATGATAGATTTGTCTCTAAATTTTTTCTTGTTCGATTCCAATCTCTATCGGTCATTTGTTCCGATGACAATACATTTCCGTTGGCGAAGAACATAAGAGAGACAAATCCGCATAATATGGTGGAGAAGATTGTGAAGACGAATATTTACCAGCCTTTTTGGAAAAGAGGAGTGTTTAGATCTCATGGCGAAGAAGATGATTACAAGTATGATGTCTAAGATTTACCAAAGCTTTTTCTTTTGATTTTGTCTAATCGAAGGAGGATATTCCAACGTAGGTGTTTCTAAAGCAAAAATGTATTGAATATCAGATTAAAAAGGCATTGATCAGAATCTAAAAACTTTTTACGTGATATTTATTTTGTTTCTATATTCTAACAATGGGAATCAAACCTAATTTAAATTTGATTTTCATATTTATCCATCTGATTTGATTTTCAAAATTTCTCTCTAATTAATTGAAATCAATTTGAGAAAAATCGATCAAATGCAAGAAAAGAACTGCAAATATGAAGAAGAAGAAGATCGATGTTTAGGAATTTTTCTTTCAGATTGATTTTAACCAAAATGACATGGTTTTAGACGATAATTATTTTTAAAAGGTAAAAAATAAATCCACGTATGAAAATAATAACGGTTGACAAACGGAGTATTAGTCAAAGTATGAAATAACACAAATACAATTGTTTAGGTATGAAATAGCACAAATACAATTGTGTAG